TTTTTAAGTAGGCTTCTTGCCCAACACAGAGCTCAATGCAAGGCTTGAACTCATAACCTTGAGATCAACACCTGAGCTGAGATCAAGAGTCGAACTAGACGCTTAACTGACTGAGCCATCCAGGTGCCCTGATTTTAAGGACAGATTTTCATAAATGGGGTTGTACTAAGACATACCTGTACACCACCCACTACCTATGATGAGCATGTGACACATTCTTTCTGAACCACACTCACCTGTTGTCAAACTCAGTGACATTCTGTAGCTCCTTTCGATATTTCTCCAGCAAAACCCACTTTGAACATTCTGCTGGTTTAGGAGTGGGGGGCGCTGGATAAGCAAATTTGAACTTCAAGTACCCGCTTGGGGTGACACAGAAATGGCAGTGGGGCCTGTACGTGACATTTTTCACCAGCCAGTTCATACTCAGGATGCTGAAGTCATGGACGTGTAAGGCAGCCCCTGGAAAGGGAAGGAAGGCAGGGGTAGAAGTGAAGCAAAAGAGGTGAAATCCAGATTCCAAGGCTCAGGGGTTGTGAGGACAGTGCAGATGGACAAGAAGTGAGAATCACAAGGTTGCCTATCTGGCAGAGTTCCCCACAACTGCACATCATGTACCTTTCCCACTCCAGCGCAAAGACTTCCCAGGCCTACGTCTGCCATTATCTCCCCAGGATGGCCACTGCCTGCTTTGCTCTGGTTTAAGAAGGGAGCATCCCTCACTAGTCAGAAGCCATGATGACCTCATTCAAGAGAGGGAGCCCAGGGGAGCCTGGGTGGCTCAGTGGGTTAAGCGTCAGACTTGGGCTCAAGTCATGATCTCACAGTTTGTGGGTTCGAGCCCCACGTTGGGTTCTGTGCTACAGTTCAGAGCCTGGAGTCTGCTTCGGATTCTGTGTCTCCCTCTCTCTCTCTCTCTCTGCCCCTACCCCACTCACACTCTGGCTCTCTCTCTCTCAAAAATAAATAAACATTAAAAAGAGAGAGAGAGAGAGAGAGAGAGAGAGAGAGAGAGAGAGAGAGAAGCAGCCCAGGGGCACCTGTGTGGCTCAGTTGGTTAAGTGTCTGATTTTGGCTCAGGTCATGATCTCAGTTTGTGAGATTGAGCCCTGCATCAGCAATTCTGTCAGTGCAGAGTCTGCTAGGGACTCTGTCTCTCTCTCTTTCTGCCTCTCCCCCACACATGAGCTTGAGCTGTGTGTGTGTCTCTCTCTCAAAGTAAATAAATAAACTTTAAAAGGGGGGGGGAGGGATGAGCTTCAGCCCTTGCTCCCACCCTGGTCCTGTTTGCACAACTGTCCTCAGTCCTCTCAGCCTGTTCCCAGCGCCCACGCATTGGCTTTGCATTCCCTGCTTCCAGCCAGTATCTAGGCAGCTTCTGGCCTGCAGGCTTGCCATTGATGCCCTATGCTTCTTTCAGACCTGACACCAATCTAGACTACAGCACTCCTCAAGTCACAGTATACACTGTCCCTCTGCTCTTCCTGCTCTGTCTTAGCACCTGGCCTTGACACGGGCCACTTAGGTGTCACAGCTGTGTGAGCTTTGGCATGTCACCTCTCTAAACCTTATGTCCTCCATCAGGTGGGGATGTGACTTTACCAACTGCACAGTTGTTTCTTTGTTTTTTTAGTCTCCATATTTAACATTAAAATAAAAGAGGTATAGGGGCTCCTGGGTGGCTCAGTCGGTTCAGCGTCAGACTTCGGCTCAGGTCATGATCTCAAGGCTCCTGAGTTTGAGCCCCGCGTCGGGCTCTGTGCTGACAGGTGTGTCTTCCGCTCTCTCTGCCTTCCCCTGCTTGTCCTCTGCCTCTCTCTTTCTCTCTCTCTCAAAAATAAACATTTTTAAAAACCCAAAATGTTATAAAATAAGAGGTATAGAAAAGTCCTTGTAAACTGCAAACTGCTATTTACGTGTGCAGGATGGTAATTATTTTACTTCTCATAGAAATGTATATATACTATAGACATACACTACTAGAAATGTGTTTATTCAAGAGAAACTTTCACATCATACTCTGGTACCTCAGCCTGAGACGGGGCAGAAGAAGCAGATGTGGGAAAAGCTGTGAAGAAAGCAGTAGTTCCTATGGGCCTAGATACCCGCTTATGGGTGGACACCTCAGCTTTGTCAGGAAAGACAGTGATGCCCAGCACCCACTCCCTGCTGTCTGTCTGAGGCAGAGTCCCCTTGGAAGCAGGGCTCTGGGTTTCCAGGGTGAAGTGGCAGCCCCCTCAGACCGCCCCCTTCCTAGTCTGTGAAGCAAGAACAAAGGTACAGAGTAGCCAAGTGGGGTTCTTGCTGCTCCATTTATTTATTTATTTATATTAAAATTTTTTTAATGTTTATTTATTTTTGAGAGAGAGAGCACAAGAGGGGGCAGGAGGCAGGGGGGGGAGGGGAGGGGAGGAAGACAGAGAGAGGGGAGGGGTGGAGAGAAAGGGAGACATAGAATCCAAAGCAGCCTCCAGGCTCTGTCAGCACAGAGCCCAATGTGGGGCTTGAACTCATGAGCTGTGAGATCATGACCTTAGCCAAAGTCAGACGCTTAATCAACTGAGCCACCTAGGCACCCCTACTATTATTTTTTTAAGTAGGCTCCACACCCAATGTGGGGCTTGAACTCCTGACCCTCAGAACAAGAGTCACATGCTCTACCAACTGAGCCAACCAGGCACCCCTCACTGCTCCATTTAGAACAATAACAGCTCCAATAACAACACTAGCTCCAAGTTTAGTTCTCCCTACCTTCCCAGCACCCCCAAACCACCATCTCCAAACCTCTACCTTTTGGCATCTTCTTCAGGATATTAAACACCTCACTTTTCTCAATGAGAGTCTTGGCCTGGAAAAAGTGCATGCTGGGAGGGAACTTCTGGGTCCTCATCGCCTGTGTCACCTCAGCCTTTTTGAGGGCCATGAGCCTCTCATTGGCTAGCTCCTCCTGTTCGGTCAGCACCAACTGCCCCCCCAGCTGCATCATCTTCTCTCTCATCAACAGCTGGTTCCATGCTTCATCTATGGATATGGCTGAGCAGAAAAAAGGCATCGCCACGGCCAGAAGCAGGGAGAGCAGGGCTGGCCACCCAGATGGGCCATCCACAGGCATTGGGATGCCTGGAAGAGGAAATTGCTCAGATGGAAACCTGACAGGACTAAAGAAGGGAGTAGGTCAGCAAAAATGTGCAGATTTAAACGTCAAACTCTGATTTTCCTTCTACCACTCTGTTTTCAGATTACCAGGAGGCAGCATACAGAAGGGTTCTTCTCTGAGACCCCAGAGGAAAGACTTCCAAGTACAGACATGAAGGGGTTTCCCAAATAATAAGTCACCATAAGGCCTTCTTTAAAAAAGTGGACCTTTTCAGTCAGCAAGCCCTGCTCACACATAGAGGAAGACATTGCAATCAGATTTTTAGTGTTTCACTTTTTTTTTAAATGTTTATTTATTTATTTATTTTGAGAGCCAAAGAATGAAACGTGAGATCATGACCTGAGCTGAAATCAAGAGTCGTTGCTTCCACCAACTGAGCCACTCAGGCATCCTGAGTGTTTCACTTTTAAATATCACCAGAGAGTAAGAGATCACAAGACATATAAAAAAGCCTCTAACGTGATAAAGGAAGTTAAAAACAAACAAAACAAACAAACAAATAAACAAACAAAACCACACATGTACAGAGAAGGAAGACAAGAGAAGGAAATAAAAGAAAAATTCAAAAGAACCATACTTAATATCCTAAGAAGGATATGAAAAGATATTGTGCCCATAAAACAGTTACCGAGAATTATTATTATTATTTTAATGTTTATTTATTTATTTTGAGAGAGAGTGTTTGAAAGGGGGAGGGACAGAGAGAGAGGGAGAGGGACAGAGAGAGAGGGAGACAAAGGATCAGAAGGCGGGCTCTGTGCTCACAGCAGAGAACCCAATACAGAGCCTGAACTCAGGAACTGTGAGATCATGACCTGAGCCGAAGTTGGACCCAACAGACAGAAACACCCAGGTGCCCCAGCCACAGGGAATTATAAAAAATAAGCAGCATGAGGGGTACCTGGCTGGCTCAGTTGATGGAGCATGCAACTCTTGGTCTCAGAGTCATGAGTTTGAGCCCCATGCTAGGTGTAGATTCCTTAAAAAAAAAAAAAAAAAAAGGGACACCTGGGTGGCTCAGTTGGTTAAGTGACCAGTTCTTGGTTTTGGTTCAGGTCATGATCTGACGGTTCATGAACTTGAGCCCCAAGTCAGGCTTTGTGCTGACAGTGCAGAGCCTGCTTGGGAACCTCCCTCCCTCCCTCCCTCCCTCCCTCCCCTCTCTCTCTATCTTTTTCTCTCTGCCCCTCCCCCCACTTGATCCCCCTCTCTCTCAAAATAAATAAATAAACTTAAAAAAAAATAAGAATAAATTTCAAAATAGGGGCACCTGGGTGGCTCAGTTGGTTGATTTCAGCTCAGGTCATGATCCCAGGGTTGTTGGATGGAGCCCCGTGTCATTAAGATTCTGTCTCTTCTCTCTCTCTCCCTCTGCCCCTCTCCTCCTCTTCCTGACTCTCTCCCTCTCTCAAATAAAATAAATTAAATAAACAGAATGAGAAGAGCTTTTAGAAATTAAAAATACAAGAGCTGAAATCTTAAAATTTACTAGCAATATTATAAGATGGAATTGAAGACCATCTTTTAGAAATTAAGATGAAATAAGAGAGAAACAAATGAGATGACTATTGGCTCAGGAAATCCAACACCCAAATAACAGACATATCAGAAGAAAAAAAAAAAGAAAAAGAAAAAAATAGATTGGAGAAAAAAGTAAATAAGTAATACAAGAAATTAGACCACAATGTAAGACCTGCATCTCTGGATTGATGAGACTCTCTGGGATCCTATCACAGCACAACAATTACTCAATAGTCACACCATGAGATATCATCTTGATATTTCAGAACATTAGCATTCAAAGATTCTAAAAGCTTCCTAAAAGCTGCTAGTCCAGGTTGGCAGTGAGCAAGGATTGAACAGCGGAAGGAAAGAAACTCACCTTTAGTGGTCTCCTCCTTCTAGACACTGTTAGCACTTTACCTGCTTATTTATTTGAATTACATTTATGAAATGTGGGGCACCTGGCTGGCTCAGGTAGAGGAGCATGAAACTCCTGATCTCAGGGCCATGAGTTTGAGCCCCATGTTGGGTATAAAGATTACTGAAATAAATAGATATTTTTTTTAAAAAAAGGAATTGTTTCTTCATACTTCATAGTAGGATATGGTATCCTGGAAAGAATCAAGACTATAAATTGGAAGACCTCAGGATCAGTCCCAAATTAGGATGTCTTTAACCATGAGACCTTGGACAAACTGTTTAGTGTCTATGGGTCTCAGTTTTCTCATCTGTGAAAAGGGCAAATTATACTAGATCAGTGGTCCTCAAAATGTGATACATGTATCATTAGTGAACATGATATCACTGTTTAGGTTGAATAAAAAAATTTAAAAACAAGTTAATTTAAAGAAAGATATGAAATAAATAGAAATGCAGGGATATGATGAAAATGGAAAGCTTGCTAATCATTGAAATACATTATCTCCAAGGTCCTTTCCAGGGCTAACATTCAATTATTCAATGGTACATCAGACACCAACAGGGGATTTTAAGAAGGAACTGGACACTATTTACTCTAGTACCACAGCTATGGTAGGGTAGCTACCCGAATCAGAGAGTTGGACTTTTGAGGAACCCCCTCAATTTCATGAAGTCTTTGACTCTGTCTTGAGGCTACAGTGTTTGCCAACAGCTGAATCCTCTAGGACAAGAGGAGAGTGACATTTGTGTCACCATCCCACCCATCTCATGCTGTGTCTTCCAATCGACAGCCCCAGCCCCTTTCCCTCTTTCCTTACTAACACATAACAGAGGCCACTAAGTTCCTAAATCTCCAACTCTGTCCTCTCCAAGGACACCAGAAGTAGCTGTGTGCCCCAACATCTAGCAACTTCTCCTGGCCTGACAGATAAAAGTTTATCTAACACTGGTCCAGGACCAGCCTGCTCAAGCATAAGGAGAAATAATCCCTGTGATAATTACTGCTATGCTTACTTCATCTCTCTCCTCATGAAAAGTTTCTTTTACTTTTAAAAGAAGGTGCATGAAAACTCTATAAAAATAGTTTGTTCCCAGATTAAGAACGAGGAAACGGACCATGTGCATCTGTGACTCTGAGTGAATGTCCTTGGGCCCACAACCATTTTCAAAAGCCTGTTGTAGAGAAAGGCTATGCACTTCCTCCGCACCGAAAGTCACAAACTCACCTAAGGTAGGGGGCAGGGAGGCTGCTGCCAGGGAAACAAAGCCCGAGTGCCCAGCTTCCCAGCTACCTACTGGAACCTCATGAGCTGGACCCCCACCCCAGGGGATCCCAGTTACCTCAGAGCAGCTCCAGAAACTGCAGACTGTTTGCTGAGTCCCCCGACAGCTGTGTCAGAAGCACCAGAAAAGCTCACCATCCTCTTTTCACTTCCTGTTGGGGCAGGTTTCACTTCCTCTCAGCCTCATGTTGCTCGGGTCTCCAAAGAGAGGCAAGGAAGATAGTCTGGCAGAGCTGAGGCAACAAGTAGGCCTGCGTGTATGGGTTTACGTTTGTGTGCGTGTGTGAGCATTTATGCACTTGTGGGGTGATTTATGTGTGTGTTTATATGTGTTCAGGTGCATTTTGTGGCAGGTTTTTGTGTACATCTTTGTGTGTGTGCATGTGGGTTTATGCATGTGGGGATTATGTATATGTTTGGGGGGCAGTTGTATGCATCTTTGTATGTGTCTATGTGTTTATGTGAGTTTATATGCACGTGTGGGCTTATGTATGTTTTGGGGGAAGATATATGGGTGTTTGTGCATGAGATGTCATTGTAGGGTCCAGAACATAGCTTAGACAACAAGCGCCACAAAGAGGTACTCCAAAATCTGCTCATAAACTTTGGGAAGTATACCCCTCCTTAAAATGTGACTGTCAATTGTGGGGCAACCCACTAAACAGCGGGTAAAAAAGTAGATGTAATAGAAGGTACGTTTTAGGGGGAAAATCAGGGATCTGGAAGCACAGCAGTTGAGGAAATAAGGAGGGGTGAGGCAGGAGCTAGGGAGTAAGGAGGAGAGGCCAGAGGCAAGAGGGATAATGGCTCCTGAGGGAGAGCTGAGAGAACTGAGCCTGGCCATTCGTAGCTGTATGGCCTTGGCCTTGTTATTTAAGCTCTCTATACTTCAGGGGTGCCTGGGTGGCTCACTGAGCAACCAACTTGGGCTCAGGTCATGATCTTGGGTTTGTGAGTTTGAGCCCCACGTAGGGCTCTCTGCACTCAACACAGAACCTTCTTCAGATCCTCTGTCTCCGTCATTCTCCGTCTGCCCTTCCTGCTGGTACGCTCTCTGTCTCTCTGTCTCTCTCAAAAAAAAAAAAAAAAAAAAAAAAAGACTCTTTATGCTTCAGTTTCCTGATCTGAAAGTGGAAGTCATAAAAGCAATGACTACGTGGGTGCACTGTGAGAATTAAATGAAGAATGTGTGCAAAGTGCCTGGAGCATAGTAAGTTCTCAAGAAACAGTAGCCATTACTATTATGGGAAATAACTATAGTGATAGATCATCCAGGTCAAGGTAAATAAGACATGTGAGACTGTACCAGTGACTTCTACAGCACTTGCCTGCCATGTGCCCCTCTCCTTCCCAGCCCTGTCTCGGGCCGTCTGCCTCCAAAGACACCCACAAATCCTCCAGCACTTCCACTTCTGCATCTCCTGAACAACTGGAACTTCAGGGGCCCCTGACATCATCTTCTCCAAACAGTAAAAAGGTCATCTGTTTCATAAACAGCAAGAAATTAGCAAGTGACAACACAGAGGAACTAAGAATTCCCTCATCACAAGTTCAACATTAACTTGTTCAAAAGTCAGTGAAATCAAAAGAAACAAACAGGTAGTAAAGACAGACAAAATTGACTAAAGTACAAGGGTGAGAGGGCAAATTGCCAAATTGTGAACATAAATCACTGGAATATTTTTTAGGATACCAGATCAGAATTAAAGACAAAGCTTTTCTTGGTGCATCTGGGTAACTCAATCCATTAAGCATCCAACTTCAGCTCAAGTCATGATCTTGTAGTTCATGGGTTCGAGCCCTGTGTTGGGCTCTCAGGTGTCAGCACAGAGCCTGCTTCAGATTCTCGGTCCCCCCCCCCCTTTTGGGCCTTCCCCCCCCTGGGGGTTTCTCTCCCCCCCCAAAAAAAAAAAAAAAATTAAAAAGATAAAACTTTTCTTTCCAAAAGCTTTGGTTAAGAGTAAGAGCTAATGTTCACATCCCAAAGGCTCTGGAGACTCCAGCTCACAACTGGGCCAGGAAGTGCAGTAAGCCAGGGGAGGGAGGGCTGTGGGTCTTGAGGCTGGAGTTATTGCATCAGGCTGAAGCTGGTTGGGCCAGGGGAGTGGGGAACCAGATCTTGAGACAGAAACAGGGAGGAGAGGGGCGAGTGCATACCCGGACACAGGATCAGAAACAACAAACCCAAGCAGGGTCAGACCCGGGAGACTGACCTGCAGGATCTCCACACTTCTCTGCCTTCTGGAGCCCTGGGGGTGTGGCTGTAAGCACTGTTTAGCAGAGCAGGTGTGGCATCTGATGACAGCAAGCCCCAGTGTACAATGGTGAGAACATGCTGGAAGAATATTCTGCCACATGAGGAGACCATAAAATATGGAACAGGGCTCTGCTTTTTACGTTTTATTGAAGACAACCATCAGAAACAGAACTGGCTTTGTGTTCAGAATCTGAAAATCTTCAGGGCAGAAAAAGGGAACCAAAGCATCTTTTAGTGACTACAAAGCTTAACCTAAATGAAATGAAGTCTGAAAGGACAGGTGGGTTATGACCCTAAACTGGAGACAGGAGAGGATTTCAGAATTGAAGATGGTGTTTGACTACATAAATATTTGAGAACTATTTTCATTAAAACATTTCCCTCTCCCGTCAATACCATGAATCACATGCCATTGAGACGTGTAACATATGGCAAAGCATAGGAGATTTACTTATGGTTGAAGGTGTGAAGTGCTGGATCCACCACTTTTTTTTTTTTTTTAATTTATGTTTGAGAGAGAGAGAGAGAAAGAGACCTTGAGCAGGGGAGGGGCAGAAAGAGATGGGGGGCAGAAGATCCAAAGTGGGCTCTGCAAGCACTGTCAGCACAGAGGCCAATGCAGGGCTCCAACTCACAAACCTTGAGACATGACCTGAGCCAAAGTCAGAAGCTTACCAACTGAGCCACCCAGACACCGCTGGATATGCCACTTTTATACAAGATAAATAAGGTTTTCTGACCCCCAGAGTTAAATAAAAAAAAAAAAAGGAAATAATATCAGCTAAAACTTCTTGAGAATTATATATATTGCCTATTTTAATCCTTTAGTTGTCTTATAAGGTAGGGACTATTGCTAGCCCCCTCGACAAGAGAGTACACTGAAGTATTTGGAGAGAGGTAGGTCACTTGCCCAAAGTCACACAGCTGGTAATGAGTGGACTGTGGACTTGCACTCAGGCAGTTTCCACCTACTGCCTTACCTGCTGGCAAGGAAACAGGTCTTCAAGGTGGCAGGGAGCCACTGCTGTGGGAAAGTGGCCCTTGAGACAGAAGGGCAGATCCGGGTAGGAGAGCCCAATTAGCAAACGTGGGACCCAGGAACAGGTATTATCGGGCATAAGATGATTTTTGCAGATACTGGGAGCTTGCGCTTTTATTTATTTATTTATTTATTTATTTATTTATTTATGATGTTTATTCATTTATTTTTGAGAGAGAGAAGGAGACAGAGAATCCCAAGTAGGCTCTGTACTGTCAGAGTCTACCCTGATTTGGGCTCAAATCCATGAACCATGAGACCATGACCCGAGCCAAAACCAAGAATTGGACACCCAAGCAACCAGCTGAGCCACCCAAGCGCCCTGGAGCTTGTGCTTTTAATGGCCAAAGCAAAAAAATTAGCTCTTTCAAGGAATTGCTGATTGATTTTGAAAAAAATTCTTAACATCTATCATCTATGAGCTTAATGCCTTTATCTGCAATAAGGGGAGAATAACAATATTCCTCCTGCTAAGTTTTTTTACCAAGTAAGTGAGGGTGTGTGTTAAATTAATGCACATGAAAATATTTCTAAAACTACAAAGTAACTATGCAACTATACAATATAAGTAATGTTCCCTATACAAATCTTTTTAAACTGTTTTTTTTTCTGGCTTCTTAGAGCATGATGAACATAATTTGACCTTTCATTGATAAGTCAAGATCATCATTATGAACATTTATTATTATACTTTGTATTGCATACTATCACTATATTTAGTAATACTGTGACACTGTTTGATCCTGTCCTAAATGGCAGGGCTAGTATATACTTTTTATATGATTTTTCTGTTCCTCCCCATGCAGTTAATATTTACTTCTGGTGGGTCTCTTATCTAGCGATCTTCCCTGTAATGTGTTACTCCTTGTTGACTGTGGACTGAGACCCAGATAACTAAACTTGCAAGGAACGTGGGTCCTAAGTGAGACCTTCTCCAACTTTCTTATGAGTCAGAGTATATTCATAAATGCATGGACTGATTTTCAGTTACAGATGGGAGATCAAACATGTAAATTAACCTTAATTCCCCTCTAAAGCCTCACTAAAATGACAGTGAAGAGATTTATTATTTATTTGTTTGTATATTTATTTAAAATATTATCTATTTATTTTGAGAGAGAGTGTGGCGAAGGGGCACAGAGAGAGAGGGAGAGAGAGAATCCCAAGCAGGCTCCACACTGTCAGTGCAGAGCCCAACATGGGGCTCCATCTCACAAACCTTAAGATCATGACCCAAATCAAGAGTTGGTTGCTTAACTGACTGAGCCACACAGGTGCCCCAAAGAGATTTTTTTTTTAAAAAAGCATATTCCCGAGGTCAGGGTCCAAACACGAATTTTAAAGAGCACCTCTGGGGGCGCCTGGGTGGCGCAGTCGGTTAAGCGTCCGACTTCAGCCAGGTCATGATCTCGCGGTCCGTGAGTTCGAGCCCCGCGTCGGGCTCTGGGCTGATGGCTCAGAGCCTGGAGCCTGTTTCTGATTCTGTGTCTCCCTCTCTCTCTGCCCCTCGCCCGTTCATGCTGTGTCTCTCTCTGTCCCAAAAATAAATAAACGTTGAAAAAAAATTTTTTTTAAATAAAAAGCATATTCCCATAAATATGAAAAAAACAGGAATGGAGAAAATAACAAAATACTTTTGGAAGCTGGGAGGTAGATAAACAAGTGCAAATAACTTAGAAGATGTAAAAAAGTAGAATCTTATGGGCGCCTGGGTGACTCAGTTGGTTAAGCACCAACTTCAGCTCAGGTCATAATGTCACAGTTCATGGGTTCAAGCCACTTGTGGGGCTCTGTGCTGACAGCTCAGAGTCTGGAGCCTGCTTCAGATTCT